GCTAGACGTTTCTTCTTATATTAACTAACGTACTCTACAATTAGCTCAGTGAATAATTAAAAAAAACTTAGACCCGGCTAGAACAAGCGGAGTGATACAAAATTGTGAAAGGGCGTTCCTGTAGGCGATACCAGTACAATATCTCACGGTTCTCAACCATCAGATTTGAGAACCAGAACGAACTGTTGTATAATCCATAATATGTCAACAGAGAAATGTGTTAATCAACTATTTCAACAATTGTTTTTCTTTAGAATCAAACGTTGAGAAGAATCGCATCTTACCTGCTGCTCATGCAGGTGTATTTGTAGGTAACTTCACGTGAAATCTGCCTGGCCAGTGAGAAAAGTTCATCTCTTCGGGTCAGCAGCGACAGATCTTTCATGCACAGCTGAGCGGATGCTTCGTTGACCGTTAGCTACACAATAAACAAAAGGACCACTTTTTACTAAAAATCTAAAAGAAACTTTTTCCACTATAAAGAACTTTTGTAGAATGGAAATATTCCATGGATGATAAAGGTTCTTCATGGAATCACAGAAACCAATAGAACCTTTATTTTTAAGAATGTATGGAACAACAACTTCTGTCAATCTGCACAATCAACAATATCAATATCTTAGCATTCGAACCAACCTCGTGCATCGTAAGCTGCCGGCCGTCCCGCCTCTTGGAATCGAACCGTCCATAGATGGTGCTGTATTTCCGAATCTCCACCTCCTTCTGTGGATTGTCGCTCATCTCGCAGATATGGCCGATCATCTTGCTGAGCTTCTTATTGGCGCGGATGTGTTCTTTGACTTCCGTGGGGTCGCTCTTGGGCAATGTTTGGGCTAGTCGCTCTACACACTCCATCACGCACTGGACAGCAGCAGAATCGAGAGCGTCGAGAGCGTCGTGGGGTGAACACGGGGAACAAGCTCCAGATGGAGATAGGCTGTGCTCGCTCTCGCTTCCCCAGAAACGACTCTCGCTAACCCCTTGCAGTGGGGAGCACCCTGGCGTCCCGTCCCTGCTGAGATCCAGTCTTCCAGGACTGGGGCTTGTGGGTAATAACGCTCTGGGAACAGCAAGCTGGTTCTGTTGCCCGTTGCTGTGGGAACTTTCGGGTAGCTTGTACACCGGTATACTGCAAACGGGAAGAGACGTCAACGGTTGGTTGAAGATGGAAGGGTTGGTGACCCAATCCCGTAGAGCCTTCTGGAGTCTTCGAACGTGAAGGGGTTTGGTCGCCATTCCGACAAGGGCCATGATCTCGAGGAACTCTTCCTCGCCGGCCTCACAGAGCTGCTGCACATCGTCGCCGCCCTGCTGGATGAAGGCTTCGTAGTAGCAGAGCAAGTTGGCCTTCTGCAGGATCCGGTACAGTTGCAGCTCGCCCAAGGAACGTGGCAGCAGCACTGACATGGCTACACATACAAACGCGGAACAAAACAAAACATTGTCATTTCAAGAAAACGTTTCAAGTCACCATGAAGCAATGCTCGCCAATGTTATTTATGTCCCAGGACAGGTCTGTGAACTCACATTATGACTGTCACAGTCCCCAACTGCAATGTACTTTTACTATTCGCTCTTAAAAATCAAGGTTCCAAATAGGTGTTTTTGCAGCAATGTCACAGAAGAACCATTTTTTGGTTACGCAAAGAACCTTTCAGTGAACAGTTCTTAAAAGAACCATTTTATTTGTGTGTGAAGAACATTTTAATTCTCTAAAAGAACCTTTCTCCACAATGAAGAACCTTCAGTGGAATGCTAAGGTTTCATGGATGTTTAATGTTCTTCATGGAACCACTGATGCCAATAAAGAATCGTTATTTTTAAGAGTGTGGAAGAAGCATTTTAGGTTCCACAAAGAACCTTTCAGTAAACAGTTCCTAAAAGAACCATTTTTTCTTAGTGTAAAGGACATTTTAATAATCTGAAGAACCTTTTCCACTATAAAGAACATTTTGTGCAAAGGAAAGGTTCCATGCATGTTAAAGGTTCATCATCAAGCCACTGATGCCAGTGAAGAACCTTTATTTTTAAGAGGTCATGGCATCGCTGCAAAAACCCCTTCCAGGAGCTTTATTTTTAAGAGTATGTGATGTTTAATTATTAAGCTACTCGTAATGGAAAAATGATCATCAAAACTTTGAGGGAACATATTATGGACTGCCCAAGAATACAGTGTATAACAACTCAATTAAAAAATGAACAAAGATCAAATTTGAAAAAAAATTGATAATTCTGACTCGGCGCATGCAGTTTTAACTGGTATAGTGCTTAGTCAGGGTAAAGCCATATTTCATTTTTGACAAGAATGAAAACAAGGCTGTGAGGGATAGAAGTACAGTGTTCACCAGATTGCGCTTTTGTTTAACAACATGACAATTGATTAGCTGATGAAACGTCTTTCCAAGAAAACTTTCAGTATACAAAAGCTCTTAAAAACATTTTGGAAGTTGTGAAAATTACATGATCTAGTACCGGCACACAGTTTTCAACCATGTAAAATTCAGTCAGCCCTGACTAAGGTCTACTATACATCATATCCAGTCGGACGGTCACATAAAGTTTAGTCACAAAAGTTGCAAACTTTCAATACATTTGAAGCTCAAACTGGATATGAGATTCCTGCATCCGCAACGAACTGGAACTCAATAGCCGCCGTCCTACTCTCAACTGGAAATTAATGATGTTAACTGTAAATGAATGACCAATCTATCTTCTGATGTTTGTAGCAAGCAGTGAAAAGATGTTTACATCTGCATTTTAATTGTTTTAACATTGAAAACTTTTACACTTTCCTTTTATGTACTTATGTAGCAGATGTTTTCATTCCAAGTGACTTAATTTAAAGTTATTACAGGTACTATCCACTTGGCATAACCGGGGCGAGTGCCTTGCTCAAGTGCACATAGGTAAAACGTTCAAACCCATTGACCAGATCTTTCACCATCACACCACATTTAAATGCAATTACGAATAGTTGCAAACACAGCTGTGCATTACACTATTCTCCACAAAAACATGAACAGGTTCCCCTGCAAACTCACCTGAGAAGATCTCAAAACTATTGCTTCACATGCACCAGAGAATCTTAATGCATGCAAATAACTCGGATATTGAGTCTATAATATACCCATCTAGCTCAAGTCAGCATGCTTTGATTCTCTACCCTCCCCATCTGAATGTCTATGTATGAAATGTTTATAATAGTCCTCGGGTTTACGTACCTCTCTTTCGCAGCTGGTGTGCGCGACTGCTCCCGGTGCTGGCCGCTGTCTCGAGGCAGCGCTCCGCCTCTCGCGAAGGAGAGAAAGTGTGTTGAAGGCTCATCGGTGCTGTCTCTTTCTCTCTTGTGCGGGGATATTCCGATGTAAACTGCATTGCTGTCTCACTCCCACGCGCCGGCTTGACGCAAATCCTCGCGTGGGCGGCGCTACGCGCGTGGGACGGAATGCCGAGAGAGAAAGAGAGAAGACCTGAACGGTCATACACGGTAAAATACACATTCATGGTGACATATTGAAGAATATTAATCGGTAATACCATGTTTTTTTTTTTTGACATGAACCCACACAGCCTTCAGTACAGCATATGCGTGTATTTTTGTGGTGGCCATGTTCGTACATGGGAAACCCGGGAAAGTTGTCACACATTTTACTACAGTAAATGTTTATTGTGGTAGGTTTGGTTTCGATATTAAATTTCAGTTTAAATACAGTAATTGGAGTTATGCGAAGAGGGGATGGTTTTCGGTGTTATAGTTCAGATGAAAATGAAATTTTGCGAAGAAAATACACACCCTCTCAGGTCATTCATGATGTAGATGAATTTGTTTCTTCATCGGAACAGGTTTGGAGAAATCAAGCATTATCACTTGCTCACCAATGGATGCTCTGCAGTGAATGGGTGCCGTCAGAATGAGAGTCCAAACAGCTGATAAAAACATCATAACAATAAATAGCCTAAGCCAGATGACTCCAGTCCATTGATTAACGTCCACTGAAGGGAAAAGTTACACGTGTGTGTAAGTAACAAATACACCATTATGGTGTTTTAACTTTAAAAGTCACTTCTAGCCAAAAGAGTCAATAATCCGTAAGGATGTTTCTCTGGTGAAATAGTCCATCCCTTGTCCTTTTCTCACATCAAAATATTTTTTTTAGAACTGTTTTGGACTGTTTTCACTTGTAAATGGTGCTTGATCTGGCCATATATTTATCTCCTGATTCAGATGAGACAACTTTTTCATTCTGACGGCACCCATTCACTGCAGAGGATCCATTGGTGAACAAGTGATAATGCTTGATTTCTCCAAACCTGTTCCGATGAAGAAACAAATTCATCTACATCTTGGAAGGCCTGACGGTGAGTAAATTTTCATTTTTGGATGAACTATTTCTTTTAATTTTAACATTTAAACACTTAAGCAGAAGCAACACAAAATACTTACATTTGAATTACCGTATGTTAAAAATGCGTGTGACTTTTTCATTTCGGTTTTCGGAAATGCATGCTGTAATGTCTAAACATTGCAAGACCATTTGCAACTTACAATGTAGATTGCATTTATGCATTGTATGACAGTTTTTCTCTTCCCCAGATGGCAAGTAAACCCCGCAGGAAATTTACTCACGCTCTCTTGAGCGCAAAATCCCCCCGAAACCCACTTGAGTATACTGCTATACAAATGTACATTCAAAATAGTCCGAAAGTATTTTCCTTCATGCATCTCAGTAAAATTACAGCTTTAAATAAACACCTAAACCAACACCACAGCAGATTCTCCTTTTAAATTAAATAATGCTTTGTTTATCCTCCACACTAGCTTGAAAAATGCACAAGCTGCATATTAAAATGAAATGTAATCATGCATCTTAAAGGCTGGATCTTTAGATAGAGGGGCGCATCAGCAGCCTCCCATCTGCCTGAGCATCTTGAGCTATTTTGGGAAGGAGGCTGGGCACAGCGAACAGCCCCTGGGAGGAAGTGCGTGGTGGTTGCTGTCAACCCCCACTTTCGTGTTGGTCTGTTCCTCAAAACAAAAGCTTTTCCAAGACATTTTCCATCTTATGTGACAAAAATGACAAGCGACAGCACCTTGTCTGCAATCACGGATCCTTTTACTGGGGTTTTGTAAAGCATATCTGCTCTCTCTCTCTCTCTCTCTCTCTCTCTCTCTATATATATATATATAAAGGATGGTAAAACGTTTCTTGAACATTGCGGAAAAAGTGCATTTGAAAAAACACTAAAAAAAATTTCTGTTGTATTACAAAAATTAAGACAATATTTACATACTTTAAATAACATAAAATGTACATTCAGATGAAATATTTTAAAAACGTTGTAAAGCATGCATTAACAAATGGCACAAAGTTTCTTAAACTTTGCGAAAAAACGCATTTGAAAAATGACTTTTTTTTTCGCTGTATCTAACAAATAAAGACAATATATACGTACCTAAATGTACATTTAGATAAAACGTAGGCCTGTCACGATAACAACTTTTTGTTGTGCGATATATTGCCCCAGAAATAATTGCGATAAGCGATATTATTGTCATTTTAAAGACCATTTTATGCCACTGAATATATAATCATAATGTAACAACATAATAATGCAAGAAGGCCTACACACTTCCAAATGACAACAAACTTTTCATTTTTAAGAATATTTAGATCATGGAAAATAAGTATAAAAATATTAGATACCTTAAAATCTGGTTCCTGTGGTCTTGTCCCGGTGGTCGTCTGAGACAAGGTCTTTACAGGGGAATAACATCTGTATCTGGTGTTCATCTAGTTGTCCTGGTCTCCGCTGTCTTTCGGGGCTGTAGAGGTCCTCTCTAGGTGCTGATCCACCATCTGGTCTGAATACGTACTGGATCCGGGTGACTGCAGTGACCATCTGATCTGGATACAGACTGGATCTGGTGGGTTGTTTCAGGGTTGGCATCATCTGAGGTCCTCTGAGGGGTTGGCATCATCTCTTCTCAGGTGTTCTGGATCCAGACTGAAGCTTGTGTAAATCCTAGTTTACCACGGGATGTCAATCATAATAATCATAATAATAATAAAACGTTCTAAAAACGTTGCAAAGGATGTGTTAACAAATGGCATAACGTTTCTTAAGCGTTGCGGAAAAAAGCATATTTGAAAAATGACTTAAATGTTTTTTCTGCTATATCCACTGATCTATATATAATGACTGGATCGCTCATTGTGTTCTAAACTGCCGACAGGCAGTGAAGCCACCGGAAGTGTTCGATCCGCCATCTTACTATTCCCTACCAGCAGAGAGTACCATTGAGTCACAGCCAAAACACTGACCTAAAATCACCCGATTTGAAGCGAGTCAGTCACAAGGGATTCGTTTTTATGTTAGGTGTATGTAAATTCAGTTTTACTTCAGATGTTATCTGCAGTGTTTATGGTCTTTTTGGGCAGGATAAGCAATATATTTAAAGGGGTGGTTGACTGGTTTTTTTATAGGCTTGATTGTGTTTAAGGGGTGCACTCGCAATCAACCACCCCTTTATATTTAAATCGTTAAGGTGGGCGTGTCTGCTGCGCACTGCCGACACAGCTTTCGTTAACTGATCCAACACAAAATGTAGCCTATTTCTTTATCTACGTAATTATTCAGGAATTATTAAACATGAACGTATTAGTATCAGAAATTGATTTGAATATACAATGAATAATACAATAGCCTCTGTTACTATATTGATATATTGATCTATGTTGTACTGAAATGAAAAGCTTAACTTACCATGCACCATCTTGGAAATAAAGCTTCATGTCTATAAGTCCGTACTGTATGTAGTCAGTTATTTCTCTGAATAAATTATGTTGTGTATATTTTTAATGTCCTGATTGAGCAACATCTATTTCTGACTCTCCAAGATCACTCAAATATATTTACTAGCATTACCGTTTCCATGTAAAATTTTATGTATATAGGCTATGCTAAATTAATAATTAATTTAACCACCGTTTGAATCATTACCTGCTTCAAAATGAATGCTGTTAACGAAATCATTGTTGAAACATTTGCAGTTCGCCTACTGTACGAATAAAAACACTATAACAACATTACATAATGTGTAGGCCTAATGTGTATTTATGCTTTGTATATGTGTATACAAAGCATAAATCTTTCTTCAGATTTCAGAATGAGCACGTTGTCATTTGTTATATATATATGTTGAGGTTGTGTCCGTCTGATGTTTATCATGTTCATCTGATGCTCGCTACTGTAATGAACGTAACTTTTTAATAAGCAGGGGAAATTCCCGACATTAAAACAATAACCATTTACATGCCTAGAGTGTTTGCATTGTAAGAATGTACAGGGATACTTCAGATTTAAAAACGCTGACTTGTTAGGTGATGTTTTCTCATTAAATTCGTACGATTTCCTATTAATTCAATGGAATGTATGGGAACAGTGGGGAATACCAATATGGCGGGCGGCGGCTTCACTTTTATGACGTCATGAGCAATCCAGTTCTCTATTATAGATCAGTGGTTGTATCACAAAAATGAAGACAATATGTACGTACCTAAATGTAAAATGTACATTTAGATGAAAAATTAAAAAACTTTGCAAAGCATGCATTAACGAAATGGCATAACGTTTCTTCAATGTTGCGAAAAAGCGCATTTGAAAAATGACTACAATTTTTTTCTGTTGTATCTGAAAAATGAAGACAATATGTTCTTAAACGTAAAATACATTTAGATGAAACGTTTTAAAAACATTGCAAATGATACGTTAACAAATGGCGTAAAGTTTCTTCAATGCTGTGAAAAAAGCGCAATTGAAAAATGACTAGAAATTGGCTAAAAATGAAGACAATATGTACATACCTAAACGTAAAGTGTACAATTAGATTAAGTGTTTTAAAAACGTTGCAAAGGATCCATTAACAAATGGCACAATTTATCAATCTGAACAAACTTAATCTCTTTAACGTTGTGGAAAAAAGTGCTTTTAAAAATTTACGTTTTTTGCTATTTGTAATACAAAAATGAAGACAACATACACGTATGTAAATGTGTAAATATACTGTAGGTACATGCACATACCTTAAACAACTTAAAGTTTACATTTAGATGAAACGTTTTAAAAACATTGCAAAAGATGCGTTAAAAATGTTTGTGAAAAAAGGCATTTAAAAATGCCAAAAAATGGTATTTGTCATATTACACAGGACAAAAATTATGACAACATATACATACACGTGCAAGTAAAAGCCTGTGTATATGTATATATATATAAAAGTACATATATATTTATATATGTACACCATACATGATCTTGTTCCTTTTGTATCTGGAAATAGGTGACCTCTAACATAAAGCTGAGAAACATAAGGAAAAAGAGAGGGAGCGAGAGAAAAAAAAGGGGGGTGGCGATGAAAAAAAACTAAGATTCCTTTAATTT